ATTATAATATAGCATTTGTAAATTCTGAACGCTGATTGGCTAAGAGTCGTGTTGATATAACTCAATGTCAACACGGGAAATTTTCCGCCGCTTGTAAACACGGAATTTTCTTATCCTTCGGGCTTTTGACATTGCTATATTATAAAAAAAATATAAAACATTTTTTCCGTATTGATATATAGTTATATCAACACCGTACAATTCAATGAATTTATGGGCGAACAAGACCAGACTGAAATAAAACTACTCTTGATTTAGTTGGATAGAAGGAATGAAAGATGAGAAACAAGAAACAGATGTGCATTATAAGTATGTTATTATTTTTTAAAATTAATACATTCACAAACAATCCATAATCAGATGGAATGAGAGTAATTGACTCATGTTCTTGTGTGGTTTTCAGATCAATGACAGGTGAAGGAAACTTTAATTGGAGATTTATTTTCCCCTTCAATTATCAACGAGCAGAAGAACGCATCATTATTACAAGAAAGGTAATCCACATCTTTATTCCTACTGTTCGTATCGGATTACATTGAAGGCCGGATTTTGGTAGAAATGGTGGGGGAGGTGGGATAAAATTAGGGGAAGTGCAGTGGTCTAGTTCACGGCCCCCATAGAACGTAAAGTCAACTACGTGTCGTATGCATGTACACTGTACATATGTATCAGTGCATTAATGAACTCTCCAAGGGGAAGTGCACGATTCCTTAGAGGAGGTGCAAGACAATCTCAGGGGAGGTGCACCTCCCCACACCTCCCCTCAAAATCCGGCCTTGATTCACTTTCTTAGAATTATCTTTATTGGCTACATATGTAATATGAAAACACCTTTACCTTCTAAACGCTAGGAAATTTTACTGAAAGTTGTGTAAGTTGCCGAATTTTAAAACGGAAAACCACACATCAAACCACCACCTTCTATCTTTTAGGCTTCTTTCTTCTCGTGGGATGAATCTGAAGAAAAGGTTCCTCCGCGTATTGTTTTGCAAGTTTGGGATGCCGATGCGTTTTCCGCAGATGATTTCATTGGTAAGTAACAAAATGATTTGATAAGCTTTGTTGTGTTGCTATCTAATCACTATACACTAGTTAATTTGGATGACTTTAAGACTCCCTAGACGCCCCCTCCCCTCAGCCGCCTACTCTATCAACACAGCCATCTACTCAGAATAATTCTGAAAGCCCTGACCTTGTTAAATCACAACTTTTTTCCAGGCGACCTTGCGTTGGATTTGAATCGAATGCCAAGAGGAGCGAAGTCTGTGAAGACGTGTAATCTTGACATGGCCAAGAAAGACGGAACTGTTCCTCATATCTCCTTGTTTAAACTGAAACACATGAGAGGCTGGTGGCCGTTCACCGTTAATACTGATCTTGAAGAAATTGAACTTGCTGTGAGTATTGTTTACAACATGGCGAAAACAGACAGCAACAATAACATCAATAACAGTGGCAAGAGCGAACAACAACAGCAGCGCAAACAAACAACAAATCTGTTAACAAGCTGTTCACAAGCTGTCAACAAGTTGTGTTCCCATTGCTTGTTCCCAGTTGTTGTAACAAGTTTGGAATAAGCTGTTAACAACTTGGAACAAGCTTGATGCCATTATCAGACTTGTTACAAGGTTGTTCTAACACTTCTGACACAGTCATGATATAACAGGAATGTTACAAGGTTGACGACACAAGGTTGTTACAATATTGTTATATCATGACTTTTATATTGTTATACCTCCGCAGTATACACACGCAAAAATCTCACATCTTGTAGCGAGTCTGCCAACAAGCTGTCAACAAGTTGTGTTCACACTGCTTGTCCCAAGTTGTCAACAAGTTTGGAACAAGCTGTTTAACAACTTGTAACAACCTTGTTGATATTATCAGACTTGTTGCAAGGTTGTTCCAACAAGTCCGATGCAGTCATGATGTAATAATATTGTTACAACCTTGTGTCGTCAACCTTGTAACATTCTTGTTATATCATGACTGTATCAGACTTGTTAGAACAACCTTGTAACAAGTCTGATAATGCCAACAAGCTTGTTACAATTTGTTAACAGCTTGTTCCAAACTTGTTGCAACAACTGGGAACAAGCAGTGCGAAGTCGACTTCTTGACAGCTTGTGAACATACTTGTTACAACTTGTTTGCAGACCTGTAACAGCTTGTGCGTTTTACGTGTGTACATTAAACAGACGTACAGTGGTTTCTGCATGCACTATGCACGTGTTTAATTTACCATGCCTTGTTACACTTTGTTTTAAAAAGTTATAAACTACAAATTTAAGCAATATGTATTTGGAAAATATTCACGTACCTGATTCTTCCAACCATACACCGTAGGGCAAGCTGGAAGCTGAGTTTGAATTATTGACTGAAGAAGAAGCGGAGAAGAAGCCAGCCGGTCAAGCAAGAGAGGAACCCGAACCTCTTCCGAAACCAAAGTACGTATAGCTCTGGACAAACTAGTTACAGCTGGAAACATTAATGCGAAACAATAAGTGTCTCCCAGTCATGTTTCTGAAATGTGGGAAACAAAGTAACCTATCTTGAAATCTTAAATTAGAAAAATAGAAGGAAAATAAACAACTTGTAGGGAAAAGTAGGTTTCGAAAGAAAAATGCTAGTTTCAAAGTGTAAATAATCAATACAGTTAACTGGTAACATTCACTTTCAGTGACAATGTCCCAAAGTTCTTAACTCATATGCTTCTTGGCATTTTCTATAGTCGCCCAGACACATCGTTCGTGTGGTTCATGAATCCACTCAAGTCGCTACGTTACATGTTGTGGAATAATTACAAAATGTGCATCGTTAAATTCCTCGTCATCTTCCTCTTGCTGGCTCTCATGGGATTATTTTTCTATTCTATGCCGGTAAGTTTTTACCATTCATGAAAACGCCCGATGTCAAGTCATTGCATATGGCCATTCCATTTAATGTACACCCCCCCCTATGGACGAGAATTTCTGAGGGGGGTTGAAAAAGCCGTTTCTGAGGGGTTGTGTGCATCGGCATCCTTTGATCTTTGCGTTTTTTCTGAGGGGTAAGGCAAAAAAATTCTTAATTTCTGGCAGGGTGTTTGTGTCGGCACTTTGATCTTTTTTTCTTAATGGTTCAAATTTTACTGAACTCGTCTTTGGGGGGGGGGGGGTGTGTACATTAAATGGAATGGCTCGTACGTTATGTTGAGGTATATGAATTTTTCGGTTACCAAAACAGATTATAAATTCTGAACGCTGATTGGCTAACAGCAGTGTTGATATAACTCCATGTCAACACGGAAAATTTTCCGCCGCTTGTAAACACGGAAATTTTTCTTATTCTTCGGGCTTTTGACATTGCTATATTATAAAACAAATATAAAACATTTTTTTCCGTATTGATATATAGTTATATCAGCACTCGTGGAAGTTGGGAAAACTCGAAATTGTATGAAAACACTCCGCCCTTCGGGCGTCGTGTTTCCACACAATTTCTCGTTTTCCCAATTTCCACTCGTGTTGATATAACTGTATATCAACACGGAAAATGTTTTATATTTGTTAAGTGTAAGGGTGTTTATATGAAGGCGTGCCAGGATTGTTGTATTCAATTCAAAGTTCTTTTAACCTATTAATGTAACATATTTTTAAATATTTTTATCATAGGGTTATACCGTCAAGAAGATATTCAATGCTTAATATGGAGTACCACCAAATATTCTTTTAAATTATTTCAAATGACATGGCATGCATGTATAAATAATTATAAATAAACGCCTAAGACAATTTGCCCTATGTAATGATATGCATATGATCAATTTACGTGATCAAAGAACTGATGGCATTTCGTAGTTGGTTATTTTATTTCAACCAGGAACGCGGTATTCTCATCACTTATATCATTAATAATTAATGAGGAAACTAGCCAATCATTTTACTCTGTTATGGTCACGTGGTGATGCCTGCTAAAGTATACATAGCAGGAAATAATATTTTGGTTTCTGGGATCCTAAGTTTTGGGTTCCAAGTTTTCTGCTGAGCTCAATAATATTCTTCCTAATAAATTATTTTCTGTGCCTGTTAGCATTCTGCAATGCCCTAAATTTTCTGCCAGCTAAGCCAGGTATGAAAATTTTCTGGCATCCTAGAAGTCAGGATCCACCATTATTTCCTGGTATACTTTGAACATTAGTTGGTAGCTGAAATTGAAGCCAATATTATTAAGCTGTCAGAGAGTTGTTTTGTAAGATACCAGGTCCAAAATTACTGTTTCATTGTTTGATAGCGACATAAAATATCAATTGATTCAGACCCACAGGTTTGCAGATCACAATGAGCCGTGTAAATGGTCATATGCGTATTTACTGTGTTGTATGTTCACAGTGCATGTACAATAATTAAAAATATAGCATAATATATAATATTTTAAGAAATAAATATAATTATATGTCACGTAGACTCGTAATGTAAATCTGAAATGCATAATAAAAATAAAAGCTTGCTGGATAAGCTTGAAATTGAGACAAATTCTTACATCGTCATCATCATTCCTCGTAATTAGAAATATTTATCACTTTCCGGCAATGCGTGTAGTACACGCGTGTGTTTATCTTGGACGATCGCGGGTAACTCGCGAGAAGATCGCGAGCGGAAAGAGCAGCGCTTCCACTTTGAAGGAAATTTCCTTTTGAAAGGAATTTTTGCCAAATGAAGGAAATTTGAAGGAAATAAATTTTGAAGGAAATTTGAAGGAAATTCTAGAAAACAAAGGAAATTTGAAGGAAAAAGCAAATTATTGCTAAAATTGGTAATATTTAATATATTTTGAAAATAAAGCGTAAAATAAGCCTCAATCTGATCATTATTTAACCGAAAGTAGAAATTGTAGAATTTATATTTAGTCATCTATAAAATTATCTAATGAATATGGCATGGCCCAGAATAATTTGAAAGCGAATACTTCATGTAATATCAATATTATAATAATAAATGCATAAATGATAATTAACAGTTATTCTACGAACTCGAGTCGAATATGAGCTGATAGCCGATGAGGCGCGTAGCGCCGAATCGGCTATCGCTCATATTCGACGAGAGTGAGTGGAATAACTGTTTTATTATATACACAAGGTCTGAATTCACAGACTTTGCTTTTCGAATATTTTCAATATTTTTCTATTTTTTTTTTATGTTTTTATCTTCGCTCTTTCGGCCGATTATTTTTTCAAAAATACATACTTTCATCCACTTTAAATATTAAAAATTTATTTGCTAACCTGAAAACAATTTGTGGGAGTTTTTTTATTGTGTTTTTAATCCTGTGAAGGCAATAAAAAGCGACAACTTGCCGTTTTCTCGTTTGCAAAACATCGTAAATTCAGTTTGGCCGCCATTTTGTTTTTCTCTACTAGCAGGATACGAGCTAATATCCTGCTAGTAGAGAACCAATCAGATTGCAGAATACCTCATATCCAGATCTTGTGTATATAATAATTAAATATATCTTTGTTGATATTCATTAATATTCTTTAAATTGTCGTTCTACCAATTGAAGACAAAGTTATTTTTCCAGGTTAAATTATTAACAAGGATGTGAAAGTAAAACGTACACGCAGCAAACCTTCACCGGCTGGATCAGCGTCCTGGCTGGACTGAGTGTGTATTAAGCTGCAAATTATGATATTAAATATCATAATTTCTGACAAAGATAATGGATGTACATGTAGCTCATTAAATTTTGTCTCCCTGGATGACGTCATTCTTTTATAGTTTTTAGTTATCCCGACGGAAATAAAGTCATATAATTGTGTTTAGACTTTAGAGCCAATGATAAAATTGAATATCCAGATGATTGTTCTGTTGAGAAAAGGCTATTTTGTAGAATATTCAACATAATTTGGTTAAATTATTTAAAGGAAATTTGAAGGAAATTGCACAATTTTTTGAAGGAAATTTCGGTCAAAATAAGGAGAAAAAAAGGATTTTTTGGTTTTTCAAAGTGGAAGCACTGGGAAAGAGGCGGGAAAATCCGCCATTTTTAAAAATGAGGTTTTAAAAAACACCAACTTTCTTATCGCTTTTTGAATTGAAAATAGACATTTTTAACATCGCATACAATGATTTATACTTGAAAGAAATTGTCTTGGTATTTCTGAATTAACTTTCGCTTAGCATTTTATATGGTAAGTTCATTAAAAGCCAAAATTTCAAGTGTTTTATATGCAGTACTTGAAGTTTAACTGTCTTTTAAAGTTATGTTTGTTTTGTATTCTTTTAGTACACTGAAATGGTTATGTTTTATTATGAAGAGTATATAAATTCTGCAAGAAAGTCTACTCCAAAAGTTAAAGGTATTGTTTATCTATTTATATTTGAATTTAAATCCCAAAATATTGTTACATCGCCCAGTGCCCACGCACGTGTTTGATTTATAGCACAGCTGAACCGCCTAGCTTATTTTTTAATTAAAATTTTTAAAACTACCTTGTAACTTTTTATCCTGTATTATGGTTCCACGAAAGTAGTCAGTGGCACTGCATTTGGGGGGTTTTGTGGCATTAAAATATATAGCAATATATCTATTTTAACAAAGCTTTTGGTACAGCTCAGCTGCATATAAAACAACATAAAGCCAAGGTAAATATCAAGATTTTGTTGGCATCTCACTCGATTGAATAATAGTCGAAGGGTCTTGCAAATGGAAATTATTGAGTGGAAAAAATTTATATACATTTATTACACCTAACCAGGAACAGCTGTGGAAATGCAACTTTAGATCCCTCCCAGGCAGGAATTGAACCTGCAGCAAAATGTATATAATGTTATTCAATTGAGTGAGATGCCAACAAAATCTTGATATTTACACATAACCTATACATGGCAGTATCCCAGTATATATATATATGAACTTGTGGTTAGAGCTCGACAACTGGACTCTGTAGCTCTGTGCGCTGTACCGGAATTGCAGGGCCATAGGTTTGATTCCTGCCACAGACCTAAAGTTGCATTTTTGGCTCCTGTTCCTGGTTCAGTCTAATAAATGTAACTATATAAATTTCCACTGAATAATTTCCATCTACGAGACCCATAAAGTCAAGGTAGTCTAGTTTTACCAATAACCATTTTGAATATTAAGTTCTTTGTTGGTTGCATCGTAATAAATATAATTGCTTTTCATGGAAAACATCGCATATATTTTAATGCACTAGTCTACAAATATTTGGTTATATTAGGCATTGGACCTAACAAAACATATCCTGTGGTTCCAGTTTCATATCCACAAACAATTTGGGTATGTAGGTCAAAAAACATTTTTTTAAAATGTATTTGTTTGACATAAATAAACATTTTGGAAAGCAACAACTGTTATAATGGATAACATAGATGCCATTGTTGGCATCACACAGAAAGCAATGGAAAATGTGGTTGGTAGATAAGCAAACAATCCTAACCACACCCAAAAAACATTTAGGTGTTGGCAAAAGAAAATCTAGTCAGTTGGGAAACCTGGAACCACAAGATATTTTTGTTAGGCCTTGTGTGTTTCAATTAATTCCTTTGTCCATCCTTATGTTAAATATAACATAATTCATAAGTAACATGTTTTGATATTTTTTCATTATTTTACATTCAATAAAATGCAAACTTAATGAATTTAGTTGATATTGTTAATGGAAACTTTAATTAATATATACTTTTTTTCCAGTACACTCTAATATTTAAAATTATTATTTTAATAGTCTAATTATATATAAAATGAAATGACAGAGATTCATAAATAACTATAGAGGTATTTGTATTCACAGAATCTGCAAAGTGTTCTATTTTACACTTAGTAGCAAAATGTTTCATTTTACACAACTTTAGTTTTTAAAATCACATACCCCATCAAACTGTTAAGGATTCTGCGCCTTTTGTCTTCTATCCAAGCTGAAATTTACTGCTTCCTTATGAACATCTAGTTGTACATCCTTTCCAAAAATTGTTTCTGGACCATGGTGACTTAAAATTCAATGGGACTGTGGGACAAAAAGTTTCCATCCAGATTGATTGCTTCATACATATGATAAATGTTCTTTGTGTTGAATTTAACGTAGCCGCATATGGATTTGTTCACAGTTCTTGTTATGAGCAGTTGTTGTTGTTGTTGTTGTTGTTGTTGTTGTTGTTGTTGTTGTTGTTGTTGTTGTTGTTGTTGTTGTTGTTGTTGTTGTTGTTGTTGTTGTTGTTGTTGTTGTTGTTGTTGTTGTTGTTGTTGTTGTCGTTGTTGTTGTTGTTGTTGTTGTTGTTGTTGTTGTTGTTGTTGTTGTTGTTGTTGTTGTTGTTGTTGTTGTTGTTGTTGTTGTTGTTGTTGTTGTTGTTGTTGTTGTGTCTGCATGTCAAGTTCCTTGAGTTTTAAAAGTTAGCGACATATCGTGGCTGCAAATTGGTGAAATTGGCAAACTTTTGCAATCAAGTAAGATAACTGTTGAAGCATCTCTCTTTTCCTGCATCTCACTTTTCTTCACCTCAGAGTCTGTCACGGTTTTGACACATAACATACTCTACACTAGTGTGGATAACATATCTGATGAAGTTTTCTAGGGTGATAACATATCTGAAAATGTGGATAACATATCTGAAAATGACACAATACTTTCTATGGCGGGTGTTGTGCCATGCAGATCTATCGTTAGCTATATCTGTCCCCTAACTCTCATGATCAGTTGTCACAATGTTTCAGCTACTACTTCAGGTTATCCTTTCGTCGCATCATTCTCCACTTGGGTTTCGCCATTAGTCATTTCAACAAACGGACTGTTTTGGGGAAGCCTGGATGGGCGCATGGGCACACATCGTCCGACCCTGCGAAGTTCATAATTTGATACTTTGACAGTGGTCCACTCAAAACAGTGGTCCACTCAAAACAGTGGTCCACTCAAAACAGTGGTATAAAAATTAGTTCTCCTATCCTGTATACGATAATTTTGGTCAAGACTTCAAAACTAGCTTTTGGGGTGTCTACTGGATCGGAGGTACATGTAGTGGCTACGTTCCTGAGAGTAGGCTTTATCTTGGATATGGTCTTACTGTAAATGTCCTGGCTTGTTATTGAACACCCCTGTTTTATGTCGGCCTAATGCACTTCTTGCAAAATGTAGATGGAGTTTTATTCCAGCGTGCAGTTCTGTTTCATTCGATAGACAACTACGCCACACAAATATGTCGAATGTTTGTGATTACGCGGTGGCCCTGCTCGTCAACTGTAATCGATCTGTGGATGCTGACGTTTCCGCATGTTTTCTGGTGAGGGTCGGAATCAAACCTTTGTACGAGAGTCCGATCGCGGCATAAACTTAGCTGAAGACATCGTTATTCCGTAACTGCTTGTAGATCTTTGTCTGTTTTCGTTACAATGGACATTGTATTTGTTCCTTATTATAATTGTTTCCTTATAAATAAGCAAAGTTCTGTTCTTCATAAGTTGTGATTAATAGTTAGCTTCATTGTTTCAATTTTTTCTGACAATAATAATATTTTCAGCAACACCATGCAAGAAAAAAGTTTTTAAATCGTCCCACATTGACGTTGCATCCTAATAAGATTTTAGCGACTTTGCAATGTTTGAGATTAATAAAACCGTTGACTGTTTGGGCTTTATTTTTCCACGAAGATGAG